GATCATCGCAAAGCGAATTTTCCCCATAGGGGCCATCGCAAAGCGATCGCTCTTGCGATGGCAAAAAGTCCATCGCAAAGCGATTTCATCGTAAAACAGAGCAATCGCTATGTGAGGCACCACTGTAGCTCCTTAGTTTCTAAGATAATGCTGACTCATTGTTTCAGAAACATTTGTAGGGTCACTTCAAGCATTCTCTCTCTCTCTCTATGTGTGTGTTTATTTATTTATTTATTTTAACATTCCTTTCCACCATCCCTTGTGACTAGCATTATGAATTTTGTAAGTAATGGCTAATGTTGATGAATTAGCTATTTCCACAGTTAATTTTTCCCTCCGTTTGTGAAACAACTGAGGTAGGATTGTAATTTCCACCTGGAAGCATATTTGACCACCTCACTGCCTGTTTTAGGGAGTGGTCAGAGAATGGGTAGTAGGATTCCACTGCCAAAGCCCTGGGATTCAGGTCTGTTGCACCACGGAGCGCAGTGGCAAAGCTCTTTAAAGCTGCAATTCAGACCAGCAGAACCACGCTGCTTTCCCACCAGTGTTTTTCACTCAGTTTCTCTGGGAGCCAACATTATTTGATAAAAACCTGAGCTGAAAATCCTCTTTGGGCATTTGACCATAAAGCTGCTAAATAAGAAGGTGCAAATGATGGGAAGAGAGCTGTGCTTTCCTGTGCTGCTTTCCCTCTGTGCTGCATTTTCTCCGAATCATTAAATATGTTTTGACAGAACCTTTAAATATGGTTTGACAGAATTGGCAGGATCGTATGGTATAGTTTTGGCAGAACCCTGCAAGGGGGAAGGAACGGGGAAATGGAATGTTTCAGTGCTTGCAATTCTCAGGAACAATCCTTGGATGTAAAGAACTAGAATTATTATTTATTACCTATGTTCTGCCTCCTTCCAGATGTACTGACCTGTATTTTCTAATTCTTTTTTTTTCTTTCCAGAGCTGGTAGCAGAGGAACACCTCATTGTGGATGCAAAGTTATATGCCTATGCCTTGGCACTGAGGCATGCAACGGACAAGCCCTTCCAAGTGCCATTTATGAAATTCTGAGACTGCATTGTACTCAGTGCTTTTGCAGGATTTTCCTGTGTTGAATTAAAAGGTCAGCAATTAACAGTCAAATGTGCTTAACAGAGCAGTAATCCTTCTTGAATGACAACTATTTGTAGCAGTCTTACGGTGAAGAATGTAACTTGTCTCTTTACTGTATAAAAGACACATCTCATTTGTTATTCATTAGAATTGTCTAAAGCAAAAATAAATGTCTTATTTGTTAGTATATAATTATTCTTCTGCCTTGGTGAAGATAAAAAATTTTGAGTTCAGTCCCTGGAATGAGTGTGACTGAGAAGGAGGTGGTGGTCCTTTTTATGAAGCTTGGACCTGCCTTAATTGAAAATGAGGACAGACTGCACATTTTGCATCTTTAAAAGGCATTACTGAGTGTGGGAAATAAAAAAGAAAAACTGAAAATCTAAGTTGATAGGAATAACTGAAACTTGGTGGGATAACTCCCATGACTGGAATATGGCAGTTGAAGGATAAAAATTATTCAAAAAGGACAGAAAGAATAGAAAGGGAGATGGAGTATATGTCAAAAAGACATATTCCTGCACAGAAATACAAGATATGAGTTTGGTTGTCCCATCAGGAGCATCTAGATTAATATAATTGGGATGGAAAACAAAAGGAACATGGTAGTTGGAGTTGACTACCAACTAACTGCCCAATCAAGGAGAAGATGCAGATGAAACTTTTGAAAAACAGATTGCAAACATTTAAAAAATTATTTTAAAATGGGAGATTTCATTTACCCTCATATTGGTTGGGAGGCAAATTCTGGCAAATATGGCCCTTCCAAGAAATTCTTGTGTGGCTTCTAGTTTTCTCCTACAAAATATTGGGGAAATTACTTAGGATTAACTATCCTTGACATGATTCTAACCAGTAGAGATTACTTGGTAGAAGAAGTGGCAGCAAGGAGAACTCTAGGGGAGAGTGACCATGTGCTACTTGAGTTCTTGATTCAAAGGAAACAAAAGAGTATAGCTGCACATGTATGCTGGATTTTAGGAAAGCCAATTTTAATAAGCTCAAAACAATAAGTCCCAGGAGTCCAAGATGGGTGGGACTTTCCCTTTAAAGGGGAATTCTAAAGGCAGAAATACAAAGAACTCCAACAAGAAAGGTGGAAGGGGGGGGGAACAAGAAACCCCTCACCAATGTGGCTTCACAAAAAGCTGAGAGGATATAAAAATAATAAAGGACATATATAGAAAGTGAAAGGAAGGTCAGGCCACAGACAAATAGCAAAGAACAGCATGGATGGCATTAGGAAGGTAAAAACCGAGAATGAGCTGAGATTAGCAAGAGGCCCTAAAAACAACAAAGAAGCATTATTCCGGTATGTGCATAGTAAAAGACAGAAAAGAAACAGTGGCACAGCTACTCAGTGGGGATGGAAAAACAACACAAACAAAGAAAAGGCAGAAGTGCTCAGTTCCCACTTTAACTCAGTCTTTTCCCAAAAGACAAGCTAAGGCCCTCCAGGCAAATGTGTACAAGTGGAAGAGACAGGATTACAGCTTGAGATTGATAAACATAGTTGAGGAATGAAAAAAATGTAGGCACAAATGCTTAAAATATATATATGAAAACTAAATTTAAGTTGCAAGCAAAAACTTAAGTCAGATTTCAGTCCAAAACACAGTAGAAATGTATTTTATGATACATATTTTAAAAAGAACAATGAGAACATTTCATTTACATTCTAACAATGCAGGAGCTTATACCCTAAAAGGGCACAATAAAAAAGCAGAGAATACATCTCTAAAATGTCAAATGTTTTAAAAAGTAGGAATATATTAAAGAAAAGCCTTTAGGGATATTATGACACACATGAAAAATGATTAAATCATGTTCCCACCTAGCTCTTCAAGCCATGTGCCAGTTTGCATCTGTAGAGGAAAATCTGTTACGATTGTGTTGCTGCCTTCTAGAAATTAAGCCTGCTGCTGCACTGCCATATGCCTGCTGCTCTTTGATATCTGGTGTCTAGTATCAGTGTTGGTGGTATCCAGCATGCGTGGCACAGTGTGGAGTTGCCTTTTCGTGTTATATTTCTCTCAAATGTTTATGATTTCTCTCCAAACTGAAAACATTCTCTTTTTCTAGGTCTTGCACTAACAAAAAAATTCAATAGGATTTTTTTTATTGCTTTTGCACTTCTTGCAAGTACAAGAGCTTGTAACTCAGAATCTGGCAGGCTGCCACCATGATGATAACCAAGATGATTGTAACTAAAATTTGCAAAGCCTGGATGAATAAAGGCATGTGAAGTAAAGGATCTAGGGCACCAAGGTACTATAACATTGGAGTATAGTAGCTACAGAGAGTGCACGTTGTAGGACTTGCAAACATTTCAGTTCACATTAACACATTGCCACATAAATATCTTCATACTTTGATTTGGATTCCTGCATTGAATATGTGGTTGGATTTTATGGCCTTATAAACCCATTCCAACTCCATTTTTTTCACTATGAAATGGTTAAAAATAACAGGGTTTGGAACTATACATTCATAGGAGTCGAAGCTGCCTTCCTCTGATATACTTTATGTTTTGTGCCACGAAATCAGAACCAAGATATTTAAGGAGTGGTTTTACCAGTAAGTGGTTAAAAAGGGTTTGAAGTTATACATTCATAAGAGTTGAAGCTGCCTTTCTCTGACATACTGTATGTTTTGTGCCACGAAATCAGAACCGAGATATTTAAGGAGTGGTTTTACCAGTTCCACTCCAGTGAGTTTCCATGGCCAAGTGAGGATTTGAACCCTGTCCTCCACAGTCCTAGTCTGTCACTCTTATCCACTATACCACACTGGGAATTCCCTCTGAGAACCCTGTCCTCCACAGTCCTAGTTTGTCACTCTTACCCACTATACCACACTGGGAATTCCCTCTGACACACTACTTCAGAATTAATTCTCCTTTTAAAATCTGGATACACTCATTTATGTAGTTATCAGGCCTAGGGCAGCTGTGTGTTACAGAACACATTCTTAATGGAATGTTTGTGTGCTGCGGGCAAGTTAAATGTTTTGGAAGTTGAACTCTGAACCAGGAATTAAAATCCCTCACTTAAATCTCATATCAGCAACGAACTCCCTGCAACTGCAGCAGGGAAGTAATCTTGACAACCTTATAGCAGAACTTGTGGCCTTCCAGACATTAACTCCAGTTCCCATCAGCTCTGGCCAACAGACTTGTGGCCTTCCAGATATTAACTCCAGTTCCCATCAGCTCTGGCCAATGATAAGATACAATGCAAGCACAATTGGCTCCCTACCCCGTCAAACAATATCTGAGTAGTTAGTATGTGTTAAGCATTCTGTGAACACTCTTAAGCATGACAAAAGTGGTAGCAAATCCTACATTTGGAATTCTTGTGTATGCAGAGTCTAGTTCAAGAGTATACAGATTATAGAGCCTTAATTCCCACAACAATGCACCTAGTAACTTGCCTGACTAACAGCTGTACATCTTAATAAATGAACTTGGTCTGAAATTGTACTCACTTGTACTTTCCTTCAAAATATTGTACCAAAGCCAAGAGCCAAGCAATGTCCATTCTCCAAAAGCACTGTGGTGTTTACTGTTTATTACATTGCAATTTGGTTTTTATTGCCTTGGTGCTGTGACCATGGCAAATTGCAAGTTAAAAACAATGCAATGTAATACAATATAATGGAATTTGAGTGGGGTTATTAAAAAGAAATAGTGCTTTTATTGCCAGGAATTCAAGCTGCTATCTGCAATTGTACTTTAGCTACTCAGAGTCCTTTATCTCAGCTGTCTCTGCATTGAAGGGAGAGAACTTCAGTTCCAGAAGGGATACAGCTCTTCAGTAATTTGAAGTAACTGCAATCCCAGTCGGCTCCACTGCCAGTGCAGGGAACCCTTCTCAGTATGAAGGCCAAATTTAATGTGAGAGACATTTTTAAGGGGTACGTTCTTGGGGTAGGCATGAGAAAAAGCCCCAGTGTATTTCACCTTGAAAGCATTTACTCCCAGTTAACTAGGACTTTTGTCTTCGTTTAGTCGTGTCCCTATGGACCAGAGCGCACCAGGACTTTAGGAGAGGAATTTTAACCTGCAAATGAGCAGGTCATGAAAAAGTGAAAAACCACCAAAATGACATAGGAAAAGGGGATACAGCCAATGCTCATTTTGTCTTAGTGCATGAAGGTTGGCAGATCAGCACTAAATGGGCTTCTGGATGACAGCAAGAACTTTACTTGGGTTGCAGGATAGCAAAGAGATCAAAATGCATCACCAAAGGAAGAGTCATTGAAGAACAGTCTCTACCCAATAGGAATAAGGCTTGAGAACTCAAACCCATAAACCACTAGTGAGGATGAGGCAGTAGTTCTTCTTTAGCCTCTGCTTATTAACTGCAAATCCCAGGAAAAACTACCCCTAGTCACACAGAAAACTGGGTTACATGGATGTCACTTAATGAGCTACAGAATGAAGTTGCAGAACCAAAGTGAACCTATGAAAATAGGCTTTTGTACTCTTAAGTCCTTTGCAAGTCAGATAACCGGCAGTTCACACCTCTGATAGGTGTACCATGAGAGATTTGACATTAGCGACCTGAAATGCTGTTGATGTTGCCAGTTATGGTGCAAAATTTGTCTGCTATATTTATTAATTGCAAGGTGATGCTTCTGACACAAAGTAAGTGCAATTGCAATATGGGCCTATTTTAGGGGCTCTTGTAAAAATCAGTGAGGAAAGCTGTGTGCACCACCTCTAGCTGTTTGTAAACCACCACATCCCCCAGGTATTTCTGCTGCACCTCTGCCAGTGCAAGGGTGAGGAATTTTTTTCCCTTTAAAACAAGGCAGATACGCAACTTCCAGAAGGCTGGAAATGTGATTCTTCTCATTAACAATGTGTACATTGCCCAATATGTCTTCTTCCAAAAGGAAATTGCATAGCAGAAATACAATTCTACTTGTAAACAGACTGCACATAGAGTATACACTTAGTTTTGAAGAGAACATTGCAGGGTTTTTCTACTTCTGTGACACCATATCCAGATCAAGCCCTTTAATATTCAATGGGGAAGTCTAATTAAAGAATTCTCAGTAAGTCAAGTTGCAGCGATATTTTAATTAAATAAGTTTATTGTCTAATGTTTGCACTGGTTACATTGCCACCAAGAGAAGCACAAGATAGGGTGGTTATTTTCCAACATGATTTGCTTGTTTCTCCCTTTCACTAATGACATTGCTTTAAGGTCTCTGCCTTTCTTTTTTCTGATTCAGAAGAAGAAAGTGGTGATGAAGTTTCAGAAGCAGATACCCCCACTCCCTGCCCTCAGAAGAAACAAATGGACTAATAAAACGTGATCTGTAATGCGCAAGAGAGTGCTTTGCAGGCTGCCCCAGGCAATAGTCTCCAACAGGAACATTTAGCCTATCCTGACCACATACCTCCACAGACCATATTCAGGAAGCAAAAGGGTTAAAATGCTCTTCTGCTCTCTTGTCTTTGGTGCCTGGGACAGAGAAAATAACACCCCTAGGCATTGGCTAATGAGGATACACTAAGGGATAGGGGATAGAGAGATCCTATTTATTTATAAACCATATAAAATTGACTTAAAATATAGATTTGGGGGGAATATTGTGTCTTTAGTTTTAATAAGCTCAGAGAGTTTTCTCTTGCCGCAGGGTGCGCTTATGCTTAAATCTCATAATGTAATGTGCAAAAGTTTTCAGCAGCAAAAATGGGCACCATCTGGCCATCTCCACGGTAGTGTTCGAAGAGGAAGGTAGATGTGCTGGTTTCCAGCATTACAGGCAACACTAGAGAGAGTTTTGTATTCTTTGACCAAGACAATGTAAACTTTGATTCTTAAGGCAGCTGGTACTGAAGCTGCAGGCAGGCATTGTGCAATGCCCATCATGAAAAATGGGGCACACAGCACTTGAAAGGAAAAAAAATGGCAATATTGGACTAAAAGGTCACCTGGTGTCCAAATACAGTTCAACATAACATTTCGCTATTTAGAAAAATAAAGCACCCACTCCTCCAACCTCTGCCTGTTCTTTGACAAATATCTCAAAATACTGGTAAATGATGGTGACCGCAAGCAGAATGCCAGTGCCTGAGCCAATGGCTCCCAGGAAATCAGCCAAGACGGAGAGGGCTCCTATGCACAAGCCTCCAAATGCAGCCGCTGTAGGGATGTACCTAAACAAAAAGAACATGAGTTTTAATGTAGCCTGCCCTCTTCTGTCATTCATCACTGTATGTAACTCATCAGACATTTAACCACAGAAGAGTTGCTGCTTGATAGTAAGGCTGACAAGAAGCAATGATTTTCAGAGTCGTTAACACCCTTGCCTGAATTGCTTCCACTCCAAAGCTCAACATTTCTTAGCAGTAGCCTGGCAGAACAGGGAATCTTTTGCCTTGCAGATGTTTTTAGATTGCCATCCCCATCACTGGGTGGGCTTGACAGGAGCTGCAGGTCAGAACCTCTACAGAGGGCAACAAACTCCCCATTCCTGCCACAGCTACAACAGCCACTGGAAGAGAAACTGGACAAGAGGTGGGATCCTTTTGTGCTCTGCTTCCAAATTCACCCAAACTTCAATGTCTGCCTCAGAAACAAGAACCACAGAGTTCTGTGATCTTATTGCCTAGCAAGTTTATTTAAATTGATAGTTTTAGGTAGCAACTCATATCTGTTCTGAGAATAATAGAGGGGAGAGGAAGAAGACATGACAACTTTTAGAAATTAATCTGCATGCACTTCACATTTGTCACTGCTACAAGAGGAACCCTGGTCTCTTGATCTGATTCAGCTAGCCTCTTGTATCTTTGTCACTGTTAAAGTCAAGATGGACAGACCCTTTCTCCATACCAGCAGTCTGTATCTTTTGCTCTTAAAGCATGAAATAAATGAAGCGTACTTTCAAAACTGATTTTGATAGTGTTATCATGATCTTGCAGAAAAGGCTTTGTGAGCAAGAGCAAGGAAGAGTTTCACATTCTGTTCACAGATCTTGTCTTTTGCAATCCAAAGGACCCTGGAGAGTAACATTAAGCTGAGCAGATCTGGTAATGTTTGGCTACACTCAAGTGTAACACTAACTCAATAGACGTGTGAACTATACAGAGAACATGGTAGGCTGAAGCAGTTGCCTCGGGCAGCAAGGTTTGGTGTCATATGGATGGTGATTCTTATTTTAGTTATTATATCATTATTTATTAAGTAATTTGCTTTTATGTTGTTACCAAGGAGGGAGAGAGATGCTTGTAGGATTTTCTACCTTATGTACCAGAACAATTTGGTTTGATTTGCTCTTTGATATCAGTGGCTTAGGGGCTGGTGCCATTTACTGCTCTGCCTTAAGCAGCTAAATATCTTGGCCAGCTCTGACAGCAAGGGAAAAGATTTTAGGAACTTCTAAATACAGAACAGCCTGCATCACTTTCCAGAGAGTACCAGATTCAGATGAGAATACTTCTTGCAAATATGTGAATATGGCAAGGAAGAAAATAATTTAAGATGCCTGCAGTCTTCTTACCTGTTTAATTCGTGAACCATGGATGTATCCCTGTGGCCTCTCATCACCATTTGCTGTTCTTTGAGTTGCTTGGCAACCTGCAGGAACACATGTGGGTCAGATGGCTGTCATGTTTTTCATAACAAACTGATAATTAGAAGGTTGTCTTGGGTAAAGCGTAAGACAGGAGAACAGTTACAAAAAAACACCTACATCTTTTGCAGATGAACCAGAAACCTCAATCCATGTCTTGGAGAAAAATGCACAAGATCCCAACATAAATATAATATAAACAATCACATGGACAGGATCTTCAAAGATAGCACCCATGGATTCCGGGGGAGAGAGGTAATAACAGAGGCCTCCAACAGGATAGGAGCGGGCTGGACCACCACCACTAACATCCTGTACAGAAGGACAGTAAACACAGAAGCATTTATGCCTTTTCAAGACTGAAAGCTGAAACATAGCTCCTTGTAAAGGTTTTGGTTCAGAACAATGGAATACTTACTGCCCATTGGCCAAGTAAGTTTACTAGGAAGTTGCCACTAAACCGCACTGACAACATTTGAGAAATAACATAGAGGTTGGAGACTAAGGCCGACTGAAGTATGATGGGAATGTTGGAGGTATAGAAAAGTTTGATAGGATAGCTACTGTACTGTCCACGGTATCGCGCAGACTTGATTGGGAGATCAACCCGGAATCCCTAAAGGAGTGAGATGGAAAGAAGATATCATTTCATTTTACAAAAATAAGAAATGCTTTCATATAAAAAACGATTTTTAAATGGCTTGGGATTTTGGACCATAACACACACACCCAAATAACAATGTAGTCCAAACCCCTTAACACATCAGAGTGTAACTTTTTTTTGTCAAATCATTATTATTATTGGCAGTATCGTTGCAGAGCAAAGGACAACATAAATATTCAAGTGTATAGCAGCTGTACAATTGAAAATATTCAGTATACAGGTCTCCTTGTACTGCCATGATGTTATCTGGAAGTATGAGCCTCGTTTCCAGTACCAAATTTAATTGCTAAATCAAAACACAATAAAACAACCTGCTCTACTGTAGTCCCACTGAGAAGGTTACAGCAAAAATCCTAGTAGAGAGTGAGAGATTTGTGGATCCTTGAGAACATTTGGATTTCAGTTTCTTCTGTAGTTTACAAAAGTTTCATAGTAAAATGTACATTATATATTTCTCCTACCTGAAAATATATGACAACAGCAAACACAAATACTGTGGCAATCAGATTCATAAGATTAGGCAAATTCTGGCGATAGAAGGCTTCCCGCAAAGCCCGGACTTTGTCAGTTCGTGTAGCCAAAAGATGGAACAGTGCAATGACTGCACCCTCAAACTCAGTTCCTGTTAAGCACCAAGACCAAAAAAGGATAAACCTTACTGCTCTGAAGTGTACAAAGAATCTACTTCATAATAAGTTCACTCAGCTTGAATATGAGAAGGAAGCAGAATGGCACACAAGAAATAAGCCAATGAAAAGACTCCTTTAAAGAATAGAAGAAGATTAATTAAACTGTATTGAATGTTTACACAGATATTAAAAGACTACAGAGTTGAAGTCAGTTTCTAGTCTTATAATGGAAGATGTGAAATATTGCTTTACCATGCTCATTCATATCTCACCTTAATCAACTGGGGTATGATCATGTAAAGAATCTTGTCCAAAGTAGTAACTTACAATGTATGTGTCTCAAGAGAAACACTAGTATCATGCAAGTTAGTTAAATTATCTCTGCATTGGCCCTGCCTCCTCCTAATCAGCCTCTAAGTGCAATAGATAATTCTGCTGCAGCTCAGCAATGGATGATAATGAATCATTCAGAAACAGCTGGACGGGAGAATTACCAACACACACAGGTCTCTGTGCAAAAGCCCCTTGTCTGAGTTAACTTCCAACCTCCTCAGGAGATATACTCAAAACAGTGAAATGGTAGGGAAGTGGCCTCATCCAAACGGGGATGCACAGGGGACTTCCTCTGAAACCAAGAGTGGATGGAGAATCCACGCAGCACAGATAATTTTTAATGCACAATAGAAGAAAACATTTTGGGGCAGAAGAGTGAATCATTCCTCCAATCTAATCAACCAAACCGCCTCGTGGCCTCATCCAAACAGGGATGCGCAGGGGACTTCCTCTGAAACCCAGAGTGGATGGAGAATCCACACAGCACAGATAATTTTTAATGCACAATAGAAGAAAACATTTTGGGGCAGAAGAGTGAATCATTCCTCCAATCTAATCAACCAAACCGCCTCCTTAGGAATTGGGGGAAGCTTGTGTGCGTACTCCAGAAAAAACACAGAAAGGCAGAGAGGGAAATAGTGTGGCACAGTAGCAGAGAAAAAAACATTCAAGGCAATTTTTATAAAATCAGAGACTGGAAACTGGCTAAGATGAAAGGCTACAAGGAAACTGAGCTCTAATCCTATGCTAATTATTCATGTATGATTCTCACTGAGGCCAATGGGACTTACCTACACATAATAGATGATAGGATTGCACCTTTGAGTTTTAAAAATTATGCTAGATGCTAACCCCTCAGCATAAAAAAGGCATTGCTTCTCTAGAGGTGGACCCCGACTCTGCCAGGTGAAGCTTGAGAGGCTAAAATAAATAAAGTTAACAGTTCTGTACCATAATAAATTTGACACAGCACACTTTTGACACAGCAGATATTGAGATGTCAGAAGTATATGGTGAATTCTATCACAGCAGTGAACAGCAACTGTGCCACAGTATTTCCATTAGGGACGGTACTACAACAAAAATAACAACAGATGCAGTAAATGGTTCCAGGTACCTTCTCACTTTTTTGTCTGGACTTCCAGAACATGTGAGTGGCAGTTCTACCCATTCAACAGGCTATACCATACATGCACAGAGGTCCCGACCCAATGTGGCATGATGACAATGGCCATGTTACGTGGCTGCAGAAGGTGTTTGTGCAGTCAGGGCCTCCTGCAGTGAGGCAAGTCTTCTGAACAGTGACATGATCTGCCTGGTTCTACCAAGATCCCCAGCAAATTTTGTCAACAACACATTCTATTACCTCCTTACCCTTAGGTTATGCGAAATAAAAGTGTGAGAGGGAACTCAGAAAAGTTTGCTGCCAATGGTTACAAAATATCTATTCTAGCATCATGACATTTTAAAAAGGTGAGTGAAACACTGCACCCTTTATTCTGAACCTATGCCAAGTCCACATTTAGAGGCAGCTTTAGCAGCTTGTCAGTTTCTGCAGCCATGGTCTTTTGCTGCAGACTGAATCCAGTGGCTAGTCCCAACTAGCTTAGATCCAGAGGAATCAACAGAACTTATATAAGCGTTGCTATATCAAAGTTCCATTGATTCAATGGGTACACGCTGTTTGGGGCTAACAACTGGATTTAGCCCTATATTGACCCAACACAAAATGGCTTAGACAAATATTTACCCATTCAAAGCATCAGCTATAAAAATGTACTATACCTCTGCCAGTGTTGATGGTAGTTGGACTAAAGGCTTTCCAGACAATGGTTTCGCAGATGTTGGTGGCAATAAAGAGAGAAATCCCAGACCCCAAGCCATAACCTTTCTGTAGCAGCTCATCCAACAACAGCACTATTAAGCCAGCAACAAACAACTGTGGGAGGGGGGAAAATCCAAAGGGTCCATAACTTTTTGGAATTTCTAATTTAAAAAACAACCACCAGATTTTGCTCAAATATGGGACATGCCTGCTATTAAATATAAAATGGAACTGCCTTCTTCAGCCCTTACAGCCACTCTTAACAGACCCTGGAACAATCAATTTTTACATTACAGTCCTCAACATAGAAAGTTTATCCCATTGATAAGAATGTTTAAGCAGATTTTGAGCAGTTGAAAGCACAATGAATGGGGAAATCGCCATTATCAGGAATAAGATACTCTGTTCCCCTTACACTTCTTAGGGGAATATAGTTACTGATAGATGAAGAAAGCATTCAAGATCTAATTTTCTCTCAAAAAAGCAATTTATTTCTTTTCATTTCTGCTTTGCTTTATTGTAACTAAAGATGTCGGTATGAAAAATTTCCACAGGTCATCAAAAAGTAGGTATAATTACACTTTTGATCTTTTATCTTACTTTTCCAGCATTCAGATCTCTTGACTTGTTTTCTGTAGCATTAAAAACAAAAGAGTACATGCAGAGAAGCTATATAAACTCACTCTTCACTAATTTTAAAACAATGGTTGAAATCCTGTTGCAAGCATAGTAAATCATGAGTAAAGCAGGCTTATTGAATCAGTGGAAATTTGGTGAATCAAATGGGTATACACTCTAGATGTGACTTACTATGTTAAGCAACATTCACAGAATCATAGAATAATGGACTTGGAAGGGTCATCGAGTACAACCCCCTACCCAATGCAGGAATACAAATCAAAAAATATCAACCAGGCGTTTTTTTCTAAATTTCTCTTGAATATTCCATTGTTGGAGCACTCACCACCTTTTGAGGTAACGGTTTTTTCCTAAATTTCTCTTGAATATTCCAGTGTTGGAGCACTCACCACCTTTTGAGGTAATCGGTTCTATTGCCATACTACTCTAACAGTTACAAAGTTTTTCCTAGTTTTATTGCCATACTACTCTAACAGACACGAAGTTTTTCCTCATATTCAACTGAAATCTGGCTTCCTGTAATTTGAGCCCACTGTTGCGTATCCTGCACTCTGTGATGATCTAGAACAGATCCTGTCCCTCTTCTGTATGACAGTCTTTCAAGTATCTGTAAAGTGCTATCATATCTCCCTTCAGTCTACTTTTCTCAAGGCTAAACATGCCCAGTTCTTTCAATCTTTCCTCATAGGGCTTGGTCTCCAGCCCCCAGATCATCCTTGTTGCCCTTCTCTGAACTTGTTCTAATTTGTCAGCATCCTTCTGAAAGTGTGGTGTCCAGAACTGGACACAATAATCAAGGTGAGGCCTAACCAGTGCTGAATAGAGGGAAACCAGTACCTCATAGGATTTCGAGACTATACTTCAGCTAATGCAGCCTAAAATAGCATTTGCTTTTTTTGTAGCCACATCACACTGTTGGCTCATATTCAGCTTGCGATCTACAAAGACTCTAAGATCCTTCTCACTCGTAGTATTGCTGAGCCAAGTATCCCTCATCTTGTAACTGTGTGTTTGTTTTCTTTTTCCTAAGAGCAGTTCTGAATTTCATTCTCTTGTTTTCAGTGCAGTGCTCAAAGCTATCTAGATCATTTCGAATTTTGTTTCTGTCTTCAGGAGTATTAGCTATTCCACCCAATTTTATGTCATCCACAAATCGGATTAGCATTCCCTGCATCCCAATCTAGGTCATTAATAAAAATGTTGAAAAGCACTGGGCCCAGGACTGAGCCCTAGGGTACCCCACATATTACCTCTTTCCAGTTTGAGAAGGAGCCATTAATCATCACCCTCTGAGTATGATTCTGTAACCAACTGTGTATCCACTTGACAATTGGTTCTATCCAGCCAATACCTAGTTCGTTTGCTAACCAGAATATCATGCAGTACTTTGTCTGCGTTTGCCTGTACTCTTCCTTTGTCACCTGCCCTTCTTTTCACTTCCTATATGTGTCCTTTTTTTGTGAAGCCATGCTGACATTTTTGACTGTCTCCCACTTTTTTTCCTAGTTGGAATTGTTTGTAGTTGTGCCTTTAGACTTTCCTCATTGGAGATTTAGTGAGTCAACTTCTTTTTTATTCAGACGGGTCTACTCTAGTTGCAACATTATGCTAAAGTAAATTACCACTAGAATAGGGTCATTTGAATCAATGGAACTTATGAAGAAGTTGACTCACCAAATCCCCACTGACTCAAAGGGCCTACTTCAGTTGTGACTTACTATACTAAGTAACAGGATTTCAGCCACAATAACTATGCATAAAAGGTATTTAAAGGCATACCTGGATTATGATCAAGAGACAAATTCCAGCCCCCATTTCTGCCGGATCTCCATACATCCCAGTCATGACATACACAATAGCTTGCCCAATAGTGATAATCATTCCAAACACTGTAAACAAAATTAAAGGAAAACTCTTTCTGTTTATATGATCAAATGGGCCCAAATACTGCTAGACAGTACATTATGAAGAAAGGAAAATTCCATTATGGCATACAAATCAATGCTCACACTTCTGTGCACCGTTGAACAGGGCTCTATCTTTCGGTGTATCACCAACTTCGATGATCTTGGCTCCAGCCAGCAGCTGCATAATTAACCCAGATGTCACAATGGGAGAAATCCCCAACTCCATTAAAGTGCCTGTAAAGAAGGAAGTAGGAAAAACACAACTTTTAACAGTGGTTCAAAACTGCTACAAACAGTTCTTAACCAACATTTCTTAAAGATTTCAACATATCCATTTCCAAATCTACTGAGACAATCTACAGTTTCTAAATATACTTGGCCATGTACTTAACTGTAGTATATCCCTGGTATCATAATTTACCTATTCAGATACCTACCTCTACCTTGTAATTCCAGAGGCACTTTCCAAGCCCTAAAACCACTTTGGCCAGAATCCTACCAAGGAAAAAACATGCACACAAGAGAAAATGCACAAAGTCTTTCCCCTTCTGGTGGGCTGCTCCTTAAATGATCAAGTATGTGACTGTCTGCATGCCGAATTTTGCAACCAGTTTGCAGCAAGCCACACAAAGGATAACCTAAGTGTGTGCAACTGCCCTTCTGTGATCATGTACCCAAATAGGATTTTGACCTTTTTAATTTATCGGTACTGATGACTATTGGAGGCTGAAGCTTCACAAGACTTCCCAATTGCCTATCTCATCCCAAAGTCTGATCTTATAGCAACCAGGATCAAGTTAATCAAGGGCACAGAAAAGAAAGTAACTGAAGCACTGACCTCTGTTTGATGCAAGGATGACTCTCATCCAGTAGAAAGGATCTGCAGAGTCTGATGACATTATTCCAAACAATGGAATCTGCAAGATTTACAGAAGTCAGAAGAATGATGGCCATTTCTTAAACATAGATTTGCAGTGGACCCTCTGCTTATGGAATTAATCCATATTGGAACAGTGGCTGCAGGTCAAAAAGTCTGTAGGTCGAGTCTCCATTGTGACCTACAATGCATTGAAAACCAATTAATCTGTAACCGGCCGTTTTTGTTCCATTTTGCTTTTTTTTTGGTCTGTAGGTCGATTCTCCGGCTGCAAGCTGAACCTAAATTTTGCGGCCAGAGAAGTCTGTAACTCGAAAAGTCTAAATCGAGCTGTCTGTAAGTCGAGGGTCCACTGTATGCAATACGGCACCATTTCCCCAATAACAGGAATGCAATTTCAGATGAAGGCCACCAAATTGCTATAGTCAGCTTTTTTGCTCAGTCAGACTAGAATGCAGGGCAGCTGGCATAAGCTGGAAACCATGGGTGTCCCATCGATGTCTACTCATGGATACAATATAAATCCTACTTGGTTCAAAATAACTTACTCTCAAATTATACAGTGGTGCCTCGCACGATTGCTTCATACAATGACGAATTCACACAGCGATGGGTTTCTTTGAGGAATTTCCCCGATCGTTTAACGATGTTCTCTATGGGGGAATTTCACTTAACGATGTCCCTTTTTCGCTCCTGTAAAAGTGTCTTAAACTGTTTGAAACCTGTTTTAAATGCTTGCAATCGTTAGCAAACCTCATGAACCCTATGCAAACTTAATTTGGTGTTGTTCTGAGTCGTCGTTAATTTTTGGTGATTTTTTTGTTTTCTCCATTGAAAGCCATTGGACGGACCGTCCAATGGCTTTCAGTGGAGAAAACAAAAAATCACCAAAAATTAACGACGACTCAGAACAACACCAAATTAAGTTTGCATAGGGTTCATGAGGTTTGCTAACGATTGCAAGCATTTAAAACAGGTTTCAAACAGTTTAAGACACTTTTACAGGAGTGAAAAGGGACTTCGCAAACCCATTCAAATGCATTGAGTCGACTTCAATGCATTTCAATTGGGGAACCGCATTTCCCTCAACGATGTTTCCTATGGGGATTTTCGCTTAAGGACGGCAATCCGTTCCAATTGGAACGGATTAACCAGTTTTCAATGCATTCCTATGGGAAATGGTGTTTCACAGAACGATGTTTCACAGAACGTTTTTTTTTTTGAACCAATTAACATCGTTGTGCGAGGCACCACTGTATAGGGTTGTATTCTTAAATACCAAGGATGTTTAAAGCTCTAAACTATTTTAAAACCAGTGTAATAATCCTTTGTTGAAATAAACTAAAATTTTCTAACTAGTTGTTCATATCAGGTTTCTGTATCACAGCTCAAGTGTAGTTAACATCTGGACACATCTGTTCCATTACAACACTTCTTACGTCCCCAGCAATTCATAGATGTTACATTTAGGCCCACATTTACCTGGCAGCATACTAAAAAAATGAAGAGAGTGATAGCTGTCCACAAAACCTTTTCTCGAAATTGAATCTATAAATCACAATGAAAAAAAAGAGGGTCAAACCATAGCACAAATAATCATTTTTCCATTATTAAACACTGATGTGGGAAGAAAGCTGTTCTCAAAATAATAATTCTTAAATAAAAACAATTCACTTTTCTTTCCATATCACTTTCCTAGCTGTCATGGATTTTTTTGATGAGGGAAAAGGTAAGTCCATAAGTAAAATGATCAACAAAAATATTTTAATAAAGAATAAATAAGAATATACAAAGATATATAACAAATGGCACAGTGAGAACAATACTACGGCACTTGGAGCCCATTTGGATAATATTTTTCTGGGCAACAGTGGCACACGGTGTAGCAACCTACACATAAACCTGCACTTTATCAGAAGTAAAATTAAATGCTTTTGTTGCAGTGATCTATGCACGGTAATTTTAAACATTACAACTCAACAGTAAACTTCACTAAATCCAATGGGACTCTGTGGTACATGCAGGACTGTGTCCACAGCTGCTAACAATGATTGCTGGACTGTGCCTCATATTGCCTGACCAGAGGTAGGTAACTGTGGTGGCTTCTCTCTCTCCCCTCTCTGTGTAGAGGTTCTTTCCTCCACCACCTAACAAATTAGGCCTAGCAGTAAGAATATACAGTATATAGATATATAGATATATATATATAGACATAGATATATAGATAGATAGATATAGATATATAGCTATAGATATATAGATATATACAGTATACAGTACAGTATATAGACATAGATACAGATAGATATAGATATAGATATATAGATATATATAGATCTATATCTATATCGATACTGTATATAGATAGATATAGAGAGATAGAGATAGAGATAGAGATAGATAGACAGATAGAGAGAGAGAGAGAGAGAGAGAGAGAGAGAGTAAGTAGCCTGGGTTCTACAATTTTGAAAGGTATTGTATCTCACTTTGAACTTAAACCAAAAAACCTTGAGGAAAGCCCTTTTTTATTTATGACAATATTTTTGCACTGGAGGGTGGATAAAATAAACACAGGGTGGTATACAGGCCATGAGCCTCACTTTGTCCACTCCAGCAAACGATAGCAACAAGTGCAAACCTGAACATGCCAGCATTTAATAAAGAATAGCCATTGAAGGCTGTGGTTTTTTATTTTTGATATTTCTCTTTTGAAGAATATAAAATGCATCTTCAAATATTGTACACAGTGTCATAACAGTGCTATGTTTGAATGTGTACAGCTTGAAAGATAACTTTAGAAAATAATAAATATGACATGTTGAAACAACTCACAAGGGAGTAGTGATAAGATGATGTACTAACACCAAGGAAGTCATTCTATAACTCCCCAAGTATGGATGCCATTTAGATGCCATTACATTAATTCTTCTCAAAAGTATATTTTCAAGCTCTAAGAATGGATGATGCCAACGTTTTTCAAACTGTATTCGCAAGCCAAGAATTCCTAAATACTCTGAATATTCTCAGCAAAGTAGACATGGCATGGGCCTATGCATGTTTACTTGTAAGTAAACATCACTGTGTTACTAGAATGCATTTCCAAATAAATGCACACAAAACTCCTGCCTGATCAAAATGCACTCAAGTAGCCTTGCACCAGCAAAAAGGACCCAAAGATGAGCACTCACTTTTCTTTCAGGCTTCTGGATCTCTGGTAAAACAGCACAGAAGGGCTTAATAACTTCTAGAAATTTGACTGTTGGGGGAAAAAGACACAAGGAGGAAAATCAATTTATCTATTTTTATATATATAGGCACTCTTGCTCTCTCTCCAGAAACCAGGTGTCTCACATAAGAAAAAAAGCACAGATTTTTAAGCATTCGTTTTTTTTATTGAAAACTGTAAGTTTTTTTTAAAAAAATGGTTGTTCAGTAAAGGACAAATGAATTACATTGTTAGCAACAGCTTTTTAAAAATTAAGCAGGAGAACAACAATGATGGTACTTTAAGTAATTTAAAGATAATGGCCAAAACCCTCCATAATTATCCTGGCATAAAATTCAGAAGCAAATTGCCTCAAGTTAAGAAACCACCATTGACATAAGCTTAAATGTCCTAAATGCATGTGAAAAAAAACATTTAAAAAACATGCCAGAAATCCTCTGACATATCACCTCTGATCGGCACACCCAGATTCACGCGTGTCACCATCCAAGGGTATGTATCTGTTAAGAGTCATGGCGCAGTTTCTGGTGTTTGGTATTATATATCCTGCAGACTACAGAGTACTTGCTCTAGTTTAGTATTCTATGGCTATACTACACTGGCTCTGTGTGTGCAAATAACACACAAATTTCATTTTGAACTTTGGTCTTTTATTTATTAGTTGCTTTTCCAAATGTCCATTTAAAATGCAATAAAATGCACTAGAAGATTTCATCCTTCTGGTCAGTAAAATGAATACCCAACTTGCTGAGAGGCATTGTTTGCATAATTAGTTATGTTATAAACCAGTGGTTCTTAACCTTTGTTACTCGGATGTTTTTGAACTGCAACTCCCAGAAACCCCAGCCAGCACAGTTGGTGGTGAAAGCTTCTGGGAGTTGCAGTCCAAAACTCCTGAGTAACCCAAGGTTAAGAACCAGTGTTATAAACCACAGAGACTGCTCTAGGAATATGGGGTGGTATATAAGGTGTATAAGTCGAAACAACAAAAGCAGTGACTTTATTGTGAGGGTTCAGTTTTTGGGGCTGTCGGTTCTTCAAATAAAGGACGAGTCGGTTGAGGTAAATCAAATGGTTCAGTATTTATTGCAACATCAACTCCAACAGGGTTCACCCCTAAAAAGGGGTTCAAAGATTCTTGTAACATATTGCTCAGCTTTAACGGGGTCCATAAACTGTTTATAAAAGGATTTGTCGTCTCTGGGTTCCAAGGTCCTGTGAACAACGGCACAGTTCCCTGCCCAGGGTCCAAATCTTCGTCCAGAGAAATCAACGGTAAAGTCTCTTCATCCCCACTCCACTCACCCCAAGACGACCCGTCTCCTCCTTCGACTCCCCAGGGGCCGGGTAACCCCCCAACTTCCTCAATTCGGCTATATGCCATTGTTTTTTCCTTTCTAGCTCTCGGGCTACTGCTTCCCTTTCTTCCCGGAGCTTCCTCCTCCACTCCTTGGCCTCCGTCTCGCCCCAGTACGAAGGACGAGGCTTTAGCCCAAGCTGACGGCGTTTCTCTGCCTCTTCATGGGGGACACGGACCTGCTCCCACTTATGGGTCCAGGGATCCTCCATCCAGATCCACTCCCATCCCCCCCGTATCTCCGCCGGCTTCCCTCTTATATCTCCCGCCGCTGCCTCAATCTCCTCCCTCCATCTTCCCGCCAAAGATCCCCCGGGTTCCGGGGCAAGGGTTAACCCTTTCACAGTCGCCTCCAAATCTCCCGTATCTATCCCCTTATCCAAGGTAAGGGGTTCGGCGACCTCTTGCTCCCAATCTGGGGTCTCCACGCCTTTCTCTTCCCGACGCGTTGGGGACGGAGGTGGGGATGTTTGCGTGTGAAGGGTTCTCTTCGAGAGCGACGGCACTCCCACTAAGGCCTCCAATTTGGGGGCCTCACATTTATCTTCTGGGTATACTTTATTTTATTTTTTATTTTTATTTTATTTTATTTTATTTATATGCCGCCCACTCTACCCTACTTGTATCAAGTTGCACCACTGGATACACAACATGCAATGTCCAGGGTGATTTTGGAACTTGAAGCAATTCTCCTTCAAAAATTACACCAGCATAACTATGCAGAAGGATTGGCTGGCACAGATTTTGCCTATATCCAACACAGTCCACAAAATTTCTATAGCAATCTGTGTTTCAGGAAGCTATAAGTGACTGGCCAAAATCCTGTTGCACAGCATTGCCAGTGCAGCAGGAACAGTATCACCAGCAGCGGCAGAATGTCTTTAATTTAAATTTTCCTGCTTTGAATTTGGGCTGAGTGCAACTTCATCTCATTGCAAGCAAGTTACACTAACCGTAAAATAAAAGTAGAGGCTCTTTAATTAGTTGCAACCTGGTGCTGCAGAAGCATCATGCCTGCTATGTTGCTGGAGCTATTAACAGGATTTTGGCCACAATTTCCATATGTAATAAAAACTACACTATGTTTCCATAATATTCTCGTTGCCTTTTATTGTTTTTAATTATTTAGTGAGACATTCTCCTAATATTGCAGTCCAAATGTTATTATGCCAGTTAAGAAAGTCTATGAGTATTATATGACTGTAATTTGCCTGCCTCCCATCAGAAACAAAGTGTTGCTTTTTTTAAAAAGCTCCTTAAATGGCTACACCTTAATCTGATCCTCAAAGATTAAGAGTAACATTAATTTTGTTTCACATTGGACTCCATAACTAATTATTTTACTAAATTTATTAAAACCCTTTATCCAGAATTATTGAATGACTACTCTCAATACATATGGAAATAAATTCCTAACTAACTGTTGCTAATACAGTGAAGGCACACCAACACATATAAAGTTTAATAACAGAGGTCCAAGGTACTATTTATGAATAACCTCTAGCATATTTTCTTTGGCTGACATGAACGTAAACATTATTTTTATTCCCTACACCTTCCCACTGCATCATCCCTGTAAATTCCCTCAGTGTTTTTCCCCAAACTTATACTGATAAGTTCTTCTGCCAACATCTTTTAGACTTATGGCACTATTCCTTCTGTATTATTTCTTAAAAACAAAGTTTTCCTGACCTATAAGCAGCCTGACTCTTTTCCCCTGATTTGCACTGAAATGAGTGATGGGACTAAAGGAGATCCAGGTTCAATTATCCCCACTCAACCATAAAAGTGACTTTGCACTAGCCCTGTTTCTCGCCTATTCTCTCTGGAGAATAAAAATGGGAAAGACTTCCTTAAATTCTTTGGAAAAAAGATGATAAATTAATGTAACAAGTAGTAGTATTTGTAGCTGGCTGAATAGTTGAGTGAGTCAGAGATGGGGATTCCCCACCGAGTCTCCTAGGGCAGTGGTCCCCAACATTTTTGCACCATGGACCGGTTGGGGGGAAGGGGTCTGTGTGCAGGGGGCGCCCCCCCACGCTCAGTGCATGTGCGAAGGGGTGGGGTTGCTCCAGGAGCGCGCACACAAACTCACACACATGCGCGAAGGGGCTGTGGGGGGGTGTGCGTGTGGGGGCAGAAGATCTGTCTCCACGGCCCGGTCCAGCCAAGGCTACAGACCGGCACTGCAGACTGGGGGTTGGGGACCCCTGTCCTAGGAGAAGAACCAGTCTATATAGCCTTTGGCAAACTTCACAGCCTCACAGCACCCCCAGGAGAAGAAAACAGTGAACCACTTCTGAACATACCTAAAAAAGCTGGGAAAGGGTCACAAATCAGAACTCACTTGACATAATGTAATTATTACTATTAATAATAATACAGTAGTTGCAACCAGCTTGCCCTAACATTTCACATATAAGTTATTCCTATATACAGCTTCCTTAGTCCAAAGGAGTCCCTCTGGTTCTGGTTTTTGCATTCTTTACATGTATCTTGACTATAAGAAATGAACAGTGAAAGGGCTGCACAGGATAGATTTTTATACCTTTTTTTTCTACTGGAATGTGCAAACCGTAAAAATTAATTTTGTACCGTTCCTTGCAATTGAATTCTGTTCACCAGGCAGGGAATACATTATATCACATATTTTAGATTTGTCTTCTTGACCATGCAAATCATTACTATTACACAAAGTATTTATACTTGCCTGTTTCATTCAGCGCCCTCTAGCATATTAATAAAATACATTATCATGATCCGTTACATGGATAAGACCCTATGTATATCAACTTATAACTAAGTCCCACTCTGTAGGGCCTACTTCCAAACAGTCAGAATCCAAATTCAACTTAATGGAAAAGGGAGGCATATTCTTAATTCTTCCCCACTGCAGTTTTTGGGGACTCAAAAGTTTAAACCTTGGATCATCAGCACCCTTTCATGAGATTCCCAATATCCCAGAATATTGAAAGGCAGATATCAACTAAACAACATGGCACTTCTGTGATTCATTGTAGGATTTCATTCTGAAATCAGCACTCCAGATGAAATTAATTACAGTATTTGGGGTTTACACATCTATGGTGATTTGTATAAATTATCTCTCCATATGAACAAAAAGTGAGGTCAGCTTTTTCTTCATCTGAGCATCCTCAGAATGTGATGTATTATCTATTAGCATATTTAGATTTCACCTATCCTCTCTCTTTTCCTCACACAACCAGCTTCTGAGATAGATTTGGATGAGGGGTAAGACTAGATTTTTCTAGGACTGGTACCATGTATGTGAAAATTGGTGTCGGATCATTTATCCAGACCTGACTGATAAAAAGAAAATCTACTTGAAGATTACATCGGTGCTGTAATTATGGCCAATCAGAAATGCGGCACATCTGTAAGCCGAAATTGCTTCCTTCCATTATGTATCACCAATCTCATTAACACAAGTCCTAGATCCTGTGACATTTCACAGAATAGTCCCAAATAATTACATGTTCACCTTCTTGACGATTAAACAATGAGTTCAGTACAAGAAGTGCTAGGTTTGGGTGCTGATTTTCATTTTAGAAAGAAACATGATCAGTACAAAGGCATTAAGGAGAACATGCTGCTCAGTTTGATGTACTGCACTTGGCCAAACGAAGCTCTAACTCTTGAACTAAAATAAAAAAGTTCAACTGAAACAATGTGAGTAATTCTACCACCATGTGAAAAGAAAGGAGGTCCAGAGGTACAGACCACGAGCAACCTTTGTAGTTGCTAGGCTTTTTTTAAAAGATGGCAGACAAGCAATATCAAAGTACTGCATAACTTTTTCTGGGGAACATATAACAGTGTTTTACACCAGGACAATAAAGCCACAATTTCCCTAATCCTCATTTCAGCTTGCATTTCATTTTGTGCAGGGTTTTCATCTCAACAAGGGGAGCTAGAAGGAACTACAAATGAAGCAAATTATTTTTAGGGGAAAGCTGCCTTGCCAGAACTGGTCTGAATAGCCTTCAACTCCTTTTCATCTCTCATGCTATGCATTCAATGAGCACCACCTCCAAGTGCTTCCATAAACACCGATTTGAAAGTGCCAACAAACAAGCAATCCAATCTTTTCCAGGTTGTTTGGACTACATCCTCCATAAGCCCCAGCAAGCATAGGCAATGGTCAGAGATATGGATGATGGAGTCCAAAATATCCAGATGGCACCAAGCTGAAACAAGAATGAAGCAAGAATGGTGCATTTCTACACAGACAATTTAGTTAGTACAGATTCATGCAAACATTTGACTCTACAAAAAGCTTTCTATTAGTCAGAACAGATACAAGTTTCAGTACTTTTCTAGTATGGGCAGGACTAACATTCCTTAAAATAAACTTCTGCTGAACCTGAGCAAACCTTACCTATTTCCACATTTTACTTTCCTCTGAAGATACCAATATTATAAAGAATTTCCTGACAGCAGGTGTTGTGCAATGGCAGGAAGCTGGACTATTTGACTCTTGGAAACTATTTCATCTCTACCATTCCATGATTCTGTCTTTTCCAATCTGGTTCCCCTCCATCAGCCCCAGCCAATATAGCTGATGGTCAGGGGTCCTGGAAGCTGTACTTTAAGACAGCTGGAAGAGTATGGATTGGACAATGCTGGCAGTTTCAAACTGACCTTGACACAAACTGACATCAACATTGTTCCAAAGCAAATTGCCACAATCAGGGCCATCTGAAAACAAATGCAAGTGTGTTGTCAAGCTGCATCTGAGATAATTAAGTAGCGGCTTTACCACTGCATCCCTCCCAGTGAGTTTCCGTGGCTAAGCAGAGACTCCAGGCCAAGTCCTAGTCTGTCATTACACCAAAATGAGTACCAAAAGCACACATGTGAAAAAAACAGCATGCAGCTCTCTTTTTCTGAGGAAATCTGAATAAGTGCTGAGTTTGGGCAGATTCAAATTCCTGTTACACCGTGATCATATGAGACAAGTAAAACCCACAAATTTTGCCAAGGCTAATGGCCCAGAGAACTGGAGATAATGGCAATATACCTCCAGGTTTTAGGTACTGAGTATGCACAGAGAAAGGGCATTATCTCTACTTGGACTTGTCTACAGGCTAACCCAGGACTAGGAAATGTGTGACTCTCCCGATGATGTTAGATTACAACTCCCATCAGGTTGCCATTAGGGTTAGCCAGTGGTAACGTGAAATGTTGTATTGGGAGAGTTACACATTCCCCGTCTCTGTGCTAATCCACATGGGAAGCTAAATGCTGAACCTGATTCTAAGGCAACACACACAATGGGGATACAGCCCTCCTCCAAGAACATCACTGCATCCTCCTTAGGTGGCTTTAGATCAGGAATGAAGAACAGGTGTCTCTCCAGATGTTGATGAACTACAATTCCCATCATCTCTCACCCTGGGCGCCAATGATAAGAGGTGATGAAAGCTGAGTCCAAAGACAGAGGGCTCCCGTCCGGTTTCAACCTAATCTCCCTCGCACCCACCCCTACAGGGATGTTTTGAAGCTGGAATCCCTGGAGCGCCTTAGAAGGAGAGCCTAGCCGCGAGGGGTGACTTTTGCTGCCAGAGTCGCAGCCGGGCCGGTTAGCGTCGGCGTGGAAGCAGCGGAAGCACCCGGTCCCTTGGCGACCAGGGAGCTCTGTGCAAGCATGAGGAGCCAGGCGGGCAAGGAGGGGTTAAACGCCCAGCTCCCGTCCCTCCCAGGAGCCTCCTCCACCCCGTCCCGCGACTCACTTCCCATGCTGGCGGAGGAGGGGAGGGGCGGCGCCCGGAGGCGGGATCCGCCGGCGCTCGGCGTCCGAAGGTCTC